TCACAGTTTTGTATTGCATGCATACATGATACCAGCTGGGATAACTAGACTGTGGTGACCCCACATTATTGCTTTTTTTTTTTGAGTCTTGATCATCCTGGAGAAGGGCTGTATTTCTGTTACTATGGCATTAAGATTTATCCACTTTTCCAGCCAAATGTGTGTTCACTATAAAGTTCCTTTTCCACCTTGAGCCCATCGATAATAGGAATCAGGAGGCTGAATACAGAGCATTCAGCTGGGGAAAGCTTGGTCTTCCAGTGCTTTGCACCTTTAAGCATATACACACAGCTTTTCCTCATTCCTTTTGATGTTTTTTTTTTCCTTTTTGGAGTCAGGAGAATTTTTAGCAAGTTCCTCCCAGTGCAGGTGTTTACAACATCTCCAGCTACCTGCACTTTTGACATTTGGTTCCATTGCTGACATTTAGCTGTGCGTTTCACGGCTATAAGAACTGGACTGTCCATGCTGGTTTTAGACCAAGCAACAGAAATAAGAAATGAAGATCCTGAGCAGCAGCAGCAGCAGGGAATAATCACCCATATTATGGTTTTACCTACTGATGAGAAAAAAGGAAAGTCTAGATTTTATAAACTGCATTTATTCTCATTGAACAGTCCTGATAACAAAGCAATAAATGATAACAAAGTAATAAATAACATATTTAAATGCCATGAATCCTGTAAAAGGGCCTTTCAGTATCATACTCTTATCTGCTGAGGTCTAAACCCTGCTGGTAATGTTGGCTGTGCCTTCAGATCCTCCGAGAGGGGTGAGCAGTGCCAGTCCCTCATCAGAGGGTCAGGAATCCGCTTGGGGCGGGGGCAGATTCTGTCATCAAACAAATTTTGGTCTGCCCTTTAGTGCAACATGCTTACCTTTGCCTCACAGCCTCAGAGCACCCAGCTCATCCCGGCACATAAACCCCGACTCTAACCCCATGTTTGCCAGGGCTGCTGTCACTGCGTCCCCGTTGCCCTGGGGAGGCTGCAGCTGCACCCAGTGGCCACCTACTTCCCAAAAAGCTGGTGTCAATCTCCACAGGACCTTCAAGCCTGTGTTCTTGTTAGAAGCCACTCTTCACCCTTGCTTTGGTGTGCTGTTGAAATTACAGAATCCTAGAGATGGCCCTCTGAAAAATTAACGTGTAGCTAATTAGCACTTCCCCGGAATGCAAGGTTTGTGGTGGCATGAGCAATCATCTTGAATCGAAAGGTCCCTGCCTGGAACAGTTTGGTTTCATCCTACTTAAAAGTTACTGAGATCTCTGAGTGTTTTATCCTCCAGGTAGGCAGAATTACTGTTTTACAAGGTTTGGAAAACACATCATATTCCGTGGAAAAGAAACAGGTTTGTAAAAGAGAGAGACTGTCACGAACTTCATCAAAATGAACGATAACTTTGGCTAGAGGGAGAACATTTCCTGAGACCTGTTTATTTCACCAAGATTCTTTTGTGCAGACATCTGACAGCTGAGCAGAACATCTGCCATCCTGCATCAGAGACAGAGTCTGTCCAGGCCAGTATTCTGTCCCTGACAGGGGCCAGCTCCAAACGCTTCAGAGAAAAATGCATTTCCATCATGATGGGAAATAACTTCCTCATGTGATGAGTTTAATGCTAGTCCCAGACACTTGTTGGTTGATTTGGGGAAGAAGCACTAGACTAGTTGTTTCTTTGGGTTTTTTGTTTGTTTGTTTGCTTGTTTGTAGGGTTTTTTGTGTCTTTTTTCTGTTTTTTTTTTCTGTATTTTTTTGGTTGTTGCTGGTTTTTTTCTGTATTTTTTTGGTTGTTGTTGGTTTTGTTGTTGTTGTTAATCTCAGGTTATTTAACTGTAAATATACTGAAAAAAATTCAGCTCTGGCCATATATTGAATTATTAATGAACTCTATCATGGAACTGCATTGTGGGAGCAGATTTCTGAGGTTATTAAACATTCATAGCGCTCGTAGCCTTTTGCAGGATAAATTTTGATAAAGATACATTCAAAGGCAAAGAGGATCTGGTACAAAGTTTGAGCTGTAGTTTTAAAACTGTTTTGTACTTTGGGTCATTAACATTTCTATTTTCTTTCTCCTTTCAGGGCTCTTGCCTGGGTATTCTTCATTACATTGGATCTGACCTTTCTTGAGTGTATCTACTCAGTGCTTATCTTATAAAGAAATGCTGCTATCTACAGGGTATTGTTTTCCAATTTTTTTCCATGCAATTAATAAATGGATGAGTGGTAAACTCTGGCCACAGACATTAGACCAAAGACAGCTCTGAGAGTATGACCAGCACTTGCAAACAGTGACTCCTAATGCTGAACACCAGAGCGGTTGCACCTGAGTGTGGGATGTGCTCTCACTTCCTACATACAGCACTTCTGCCATACACAGGTCTCTTTTGTCAGCTAAAATTAACCAGCACGTGTTCCTGGCAGCGCTGCTGCTGTTTCCAAAGTGACAGCCTCTTCTTTTGCATCCCCAGAAGAACACCTGAGAAACGGCACATCTTTCTCTAAACACTGCCCTGCTGCCTTCCCCAGCCTGCAGAGGGCTCTTGCCATGCCGAGTGCTGCTGGGAACCCTCTGAAACAACAACCCCCATTCCCAGGGTAGGAAGGAAGAAGTTTTTCCTGTCAAGTGTCCACTTGCTTATTATCAACAGGCAGGTCATCAGCCTCTGTCTTGCTGGGTATGAGACCTACTGATGCTCAAAAAGCCAGAAAAAAACATGTCCTTCTGACTGTCTCCTTGTATCGGCAGACTAGAACAAGCCACCAGTGCCCCTTTTCTCTAATGACACAAGTATGTACAAACCTCGCGTGGGTATAACCATGTCATTTGTGTCTTTGGTCAGTCCCTGTTATTAACCATGTAACTGCAGACAAACAGTTTCTCTCTGCTTTCTCTTCTCCAGCATGAATCTTTTTTTCCGTTAGTGTGCCACAAAGTTTAGAAATGTATTAGTACCTTTTTTGGCCCGTTCTGCCTCCAACAGCAGGACTCTTTTCCTGCAGATCTCTATCCGGAGAATCAATGATTTCTGGAGTGTTGTTTCGAACACACATCGTGTAAGTTGCAACTAGAAGATTCATGAAAGCACATCAGTGTTTTTCAGAAACTTCAGTGTTACTGAGATGCTCAAAGAGCACACCGGACCCTGCAGATGGTTTAGTATCCCAGATTTTCATTTTACTAATTTCTTATTTTCAAGGCTTCTTTACACAAACTACATTATAAAGTCATCAGCACAGAGTCTGTAATCTATATAATCTCTGGCACTCATGTGGATTTGCAAAATGCTGCTGGTAGACAGGAAAAAGGTTTTTAATACAAGAGTTGTAATTTCCATTGATATTTTTCTCAATCAATTGTTCATATCTGTATTTCTGTATAATTGATCACATTTTAGAAAAAAAAAACAACCGTGCTAAGCATGTTAAATGAGGCTAACTACTCTGGTAATGACAAATACTTCTGAGAAGTGCAAACTGTTTTCAATGAAGAGGTAAATATAATCATTCTGTACACCTAAGCTCCATTTCAACTTCTCTTCCTGTCCTGGAATATAATTAGGATGGAGCCTTGGGGACATAATCATCACTAACCAACATATTGACAACCTTGCTGGAGCCAAAGCATATGTCAAGTCACAACCAAGTCTGAGGCACTGACTCCAAGAAGAGATTCAAATTTCCACAGTTAGGTGCAGTAGTAACATGAATTAGGCTACCCAGAAAATATAACACATCTTAAAGACAAAGTAGCCATTAAAAGTAATTTTCAAAAAATAGTCTTAAGACTCACAGAAGACAATGATGGTAATTGAGACCTCTCTGCATGCTGTGTTAGAGCCTCTGAAAAACGTGGCTAGTGATGAATTTACATTTCCTGATTTATAGCCCTTAAAACTCAGCTATTCTGAAGGGTCAGTGTGTTTATGCACTGGAAGACTCAGGAAATTGTGGTTCACCCTCCTGTTCTGGCAGTGGCATCTGTGCTAAAGCTCCAGCTCTCCAGGCCTTGGGTATGTAGGTGCCACTGCAGACAGGACGGCTGCATTCTGCACTGGAACACACAGACGTGTGCTCATGCCCACCTCCTCACCTGAAAAGCAGTTCCACTCCACCTGGAGACTGCACTGCCTCAAACCACATCTCTGCACCGTTTCTCCCTCGTGTCAGGGCTTGCCAGAAACAAAGTCAGTTGTGGGTGGAGGTTTCCAGAGGGACATGAAATCCAGCCAATACCAGCCGTACGAATATGCAGCTGTGTACCAGCACAGTGCCAGTGCCCAGGGCTTGCTCTGCAGGTAAAAAAAGAGATTTGGCTACTTTCGATCTCTCAGAAGTCAGGCTGGCAAACACCCAGCACCCAGAAGACACAAGGCAGCCTAGCACTGCCCAGGCAGCCCAGCCATAGGCTTCATGGGCAAGGAAAGCAACGAAGAGTCTGAGAATTAGCTCAGCACTGAGGGGCTCCAGATGTGTGTAAAAACATTGTATACAATTCATTGTCAACTGCTGATAAAAATCATCAGCCTAAGTTTAGTCCAGCACTAAACTGCTTTCCCCTGGGTACAGATCTCTTAGACTTTTTCCTGCAAATGCAGGCTGCTTCAAGAGTGCCATTTCCCTTGAAGTTGTGATTAGCATTTATTTCCCCATGCTAGAGTTAAATTTAGCAGTAGATCTACTTACTTTTTGAAACTAGGAACTTACTAAAATCTTCTGATCTTTCTTTATGGAACGAAGCAGGAATTCATGAAGTGCTCTTAGAAAGTGGCAATATTCTATTCAAATTTTACAATAACTGCAATTCTAATACTATACACTATTAAAATTTAAGATATCTGGCATCATACAGAGTTATTAATATGGACCTAAATCAATTCCTCTGAGTGGGACTCTGAATACAATTTCTAACTGAGATTAAATAGTTTTTAAGAAACTGGATAAAAAATATTTAAATGTATTTTGGGCTAAGCCACTTGTTCATAAATAATAATCAAATGAGTAGAACATGTCCATTTATTTCAGATCTATAAAATACAAATCTAAAAATATCATTTTACAGACAATATTCACCATTTAGTTTATATTTTAGTACGGTCTTAAGCCTTGCATGGAATAATAATGCAGCAGAACAACAAAATAGTCTACATTTTAACTTTATAGATTTCCTTAACTAGACTCTACCATATACATCAAAAATAGTTGTGCACAGTAACCAATTAAACATCTACATTTTAAGAATAGATTGGCTAAATCTCATAACTGAGACACCAATTACAGTACATTTATTAAAAATCCTTCAAGAATGCACTCAGTAGTAACAGTAGTTAAAATCATAACTGTTCTGATAAATGATCAAAGCAAATGATGACAGAATTAAAAAAATTCAGTTAATCATTTATATGTAATGTAAAGCCCATGTAACACAACAACAAATAAGGAAATTACATGGGCACAAGTGCAAAAAAGCAATATTGTAAGCCATCATCTCTCTTTGGTAAAAATCAATTAGCAGGAAGTATACCAAAATAATTCAAGTCAAAGACTAATTCAGGCTATATTTTTTTCCTTTCCTACCATAGTCAGACTTGATGATTTGCAGGCATCCTACAGTGGAGAAGTTAAAATTCTACTTAACACTGCCCATTTTCTCCTCTTTTAAGTTTAAATATTGAAATTAAAGATAAGGATTTTTTTCTTTCATAAATAGCTTTTCAGTAGTATAGTCTCTTAAGGAATTGAAAAATAAATAGCAAAATATACACAATTTCAAAGATTACATTTAATTCCTTCTAGGTATATCCTGAAAATATATCACCAAAGAATAAATAACTTTGGGTTTCTCAAATATTTGGTAAAATGTCAATTACTCTTACATAAGGAGTTTTCTCTGAGGGATAAGGAAGTACCACTGCTTTTCCTACAAAGCTTTTACTATACAGGTGGAATTTTAATACCTTTACAGTAAGAATATAATCTGTAATATAATATGGATGTTCACCATTAAAAAGCACAGTAAAAAAATCTTTCAAAATTAAATCTTCAGCATTTCATGTTCAAACCTGAGGAACTTCCAGGTAACTATGAAGTTCTCCTGGCAGGACAGTCAAGCTCAGTTGTCTGTGTCAGGAGGCTACAGTAACAGTAAGGCAATTTCCTCCAATGGTAGAGCCAAAGTTCTTTTCTACTGACAGTATATTAAAAGTCCAGAAAGGACAAATGTTGAGGAAGGGACAAGAGAAGGAGGTGGGTTAAGAACACTTGAGCATAAGCCATCCTGAGACAGGCATGGACTGCCTACAGGGATTTTACTATAACCATAGATTTTAAATAAATTCTTCTGGTTTTGAAGGACTTGACTGTCATGAACAGTTAAGGAAATGTCACAGGGGATTTGCAGGTTATCATCTTACTCAAGCTCCTCATATTTATCTGAAATTATTACTAAAGAAAAAAACAAAAAATGCAGGCCACGTCAGCAAAGCAACTAGTTAATAGAATCCATCCAGCAACTTGAAGTGTCATTAAAAATAAAAAAAAAATAACTGCAGGAAGATCTTCTGGAGGGGCAGAGCAAAGTCCTTGCCTTTTTAGAAGATCCGTTTAAGCTGCCAGCAAAGTAAAGGCAATTTTGATTGCTCATTTATTCAGAATTCATAAATAACATGTAGATTCACTAAGCTCCTATTCACACCCACAGCTAATTTACATAAAATATTAAGCAGAATGCTTTTCTACTCCTTGTTTGATTCCAAGCACAAGATGTAAAAACCAGTTAAATTGCACAGTCCAGCCCTTATCTCTGCAAACCTCTATCTGATCAAGGAAATGCTTTTTGGCATCTTCTTCGTTTTTTCCTACTGTCAGTGCGTCCCTGATATATTCAATATCTTCTTTGCTGGTTAATTGGGGCATTCCAGTCATTAGCATCATGGAGAACAGGATGATCAGCAGGTTTGTGTGGTGTCGAAGAGCTAAGTAAGCCTTCACGCATACGTCCTACGAGAGAGAAGAGTTTTTTGTTAATTAATGAGAAGAACAGAGAGGGATGGGGCAGGAATTTCACAGGACTCCCATTAACCAACACTATTCTATCACTCATGTCAGGAGGAGGAGACCCAACAGAGCCATTCACCTGAGCAGAGACGTGACCTGAACTTCTGCATCTGGTGCTCAGTGTGACTTCATTCATCACCCCACACTGGGGCAACGAGTGCTGTTTTGTTGTACAAACCAACAGCTCTTCCTAACCACACATTAACCACTAAAAACCTCAGCTTCACGAAGACCTCAAATTAATTTCCTTGCCATAATATCTCCCAGGGCTGTTAAAAGAGACAGCAATAAGTCATTGTCTTCCTTTCCAATCAGGATGTTCCCATTTAAAGACCATGGCTGGGAAGTGATACTGGATAAAGCAGCACCTCCAGGGGGCTGCTCCTCATTTTGTACAGATGTCTATTAACGTCGCAGTGGTGACGGTTTATTTAAAGAGGAAGATTTTTCAGGTCTGGTGTTCTAAGAAATATTTCCAGCTGACAGCTCTAGTCTTCAGGCACTCTGCCTTGCTGTAGGACTTCTATCTTTATGTACTGTCAAACTGGATTCCACAGACTTTTTTTATAGCTTTTTCATTTCCATGTATAAATAATCTGTGCTTAACAACATACCCTTTAGAAGAATGAAATATCTACAGCTTGGAAAAACATGCAATGCTTTTTAAAAATAATATTTAATGATAAGTGACTAACATATAAACTGACATTATTTCTTTTATTAAATTTATTACTCATTTACTATTAGAAATAAGAGCAATGCAACGAAAGACATCAATCATCAATCAACTAGAAACTAGGCTTGCAATGCAGTAATGTAAAAACATGAAAAATATCTCCAAGAGGGTTATTATTATTCAAACCAAAGCTGAAGCAATGTTAATTTTTACCCAATTAAATGTTCAACTTAACCTTTCCACAACTGTATATTAATTTATTGAAGAATTCTTAGGAAATCTAAATACTTTAATGTAAACTTCTATCAAATCCCATCAGCCCTCTAGAATGCTTTTTTTTTTTTTTTTAACAAAATGTGTGTCTTTTTCTTCCTCTAAAACAGGAAGATGTGCACAAATAATCTTAACATCTATCACTGTTCACATTAGCAACACCAGGACACCCAACCAGACAGGTCAGGAAGATATTAAGGAAGTAAGATGATATACTGAAGAACTGTCTGTACAATTTCTTTTTTTTTTTCCTATTGCCTGGGAACATAGATTTTTCACTGTTTCCAAATAAATTCTGTCCTGAAATAAGATCATATTTATGAACTCCAATGCTAGTTTAGTTCTAGCAAAGCAGAAGATAAATTGCAATGGTCAAAGCACAGTTTACAGCAGAAAACACCATCATCTTATCACAGGGAATAGTTTCTCTCCATGGCACCCGGGGAAAAATAAGACAAAAAAAGAAGAAATTTTACTTATGTATTATCAACTTCAAACAGGGAAATCTTGTCACAAGAGTTAGTCTGTGTTTTGTTCCTTTTGAAAGAGATGAAAGCTCTTTATAGTTATATCAAAGAAGGTTTTACATTTCTGTATGGATGATGCGTCTCACTGCTCCGGGTGCCTGAGACAGAAAAACAATTATGCAGTCAAGAAGAACCTGGCATCACTGCATCTCACAGGCAGTCCTTCCAGGAATTCAAAAGATTTAAAAAATCTGCATCTGCCTGTTACACTTCTTTATTCAGACAAGAACTGAATATAGTTTTGAATTAGTATCTTCCAAGAAAATGAGTTTTTACACTTCTGGGAGAGGCAGAGAGAATCCAAAATAACACAGACAGTCTGTATGTGTCAAGGATATGTACATGTTTACCCTGGGATTAAGAAGAAAGCTGCTAACTAATCCAAAGCCATAGGCAAAATGAGAGGAGCTGAGGGAAAACCAAAATCCCATTGTCCAATAAATGATAAAGAATAATTATTCTGAGAGCTTGAAACTGTCCTATATAGTACTATCCTAAAATTCAGGCATTTTTGTAGTATAAAGTGCCCAAATTCTGTTACATCCCTTCCCTGTACTGTACACTCCAAGTAAATATTTTTCAACGATGAATTGTCTACCCTTCAGTTTCCTATCACCTTTGTTTGACAATCAAATACGAGAGATTTTAAAAAGAAATAGAAGAATTTGGTTAGTACTGAAAATACAGATCTCTGTATTAGCAAGTCAGCAGAGCAATAAAAAAATCATGAATTAAGTAAATTAAATATAATGAATAAAAATGCATAATTTAATGCAAAAAATTTAATGCAAAAACTATCAAAGATAATTTCAGGCAAATTATTAATAGGTAGGCGGACAAAGCATGAAAAAGACTACGAAGCTCTCAGATGAGGCTGTCTCCAGGGTTTATATAAGTAAGAAGTGAAAAAGTTGCACGTTCAGAGGAGTAAGAGAGTTGATGGGTTTCAGCCAAAGGCTGGAAAGGAAATGCCACCACACATGACACAGCGAGAGAAATCTGGGCAGTACCAAGGCAGCTGAAAAATTCACAGACAAAAGAGAAAAATACTTACATTCTCGGATTAAGTTATGCTTAAATATATGTTTGCAATGAGGACAAAACCCCACCAAATAGGGCTTCCTACTAAGCATTTCTGTGATGTCATTAATAACCTCTGGCCTCTAATTTTCATTAAACCATCACAACGAACACAAACAAAAAGGGAAACAAAATTTAGATTTAGAACTTGCTATTGAAAGGAGCTTTGTTGCTAATTCCAGAAAGCTCGCCAAGCCATTGACAGCCTCAGAAGTTCACTAATAACAAACTATACTCTTTGCAGTGAACTCCAGACAAAATTATCTGTCATTTTAACCTCCTCTGGCACCTGCATTATGAGCTATGGCTAACACATCCATATGGACTGTGTCTAATCAGTAACAGAGAAATAAAATTTTTTAAAAGTAAATATTTTAAGTTATTAAAAACACCAAAGCCTTTTAAAAAAAATGGATTCTTCTGAAGTACACCCTATTTTAATGCAGTTGAAGTACAAAATAATGAGAGATGCTCTTAAAAATTAATGAAGGGTAAATGCTGAGACTTTTCCATTAATACATGAATGAGTCAGCAGGCACGTTGAATGAATCCCTCAATATTAGGAAATACAATGAAACAAGTTAGTTGAAAAGTGAAACTACAATATTTATTTATTTATTAACTTTGGTCATGTAAGTAAAATATACCTTTTTTAGAGCAAAATATGTGATGCAGATCTTGCCCTGTGTTATTATTTTGTTTGTATGAAAGTATTTTACCTTTCTTTTTACTGGTCTTTGAGACAGAAAAGCCTTTTAATGTACTACTACCGTAGTGGTTTATAAACAGTAGCTATTGCAGCCAAACTATACATGAACTTTTATTTTTTGGTGAGTTTATTGTTGTCCGTGTCTAAATGATCTCACTTAAAATGCCCAGGTCACATATCATGGTCACAGTTCACAAAGGCAAGGCACATTAATCCCCTTTTATCTGGTTAATGACAATAATGGAAATGACAGTGTTACTATCACCGCATTCCTAAAATGTCTGCATTAGTGGGATAAGACCAAAATCACCTCCAATTGCTTTTGGCATTTGGGCTGCTGAAGTAAAGGTCAGATATTCACTAAAGAGCCAGATGATCCATATATATGAACACAACTTTACTTCATTGCAGACATCAACAGGTCTTTCAACTCTGTGTGAAAGCCCACACACACACCTTCTTCCTCCCTTGTAACTGTCTCTGCTGGACAACGTGATTTGTCCTAAGATAAGAATACCAGAAGGGAATTGTCCCAAGATAAGAATATCAGGTGGGAACTGCAGGAGGAACTGTCTGGATGCTCATATAATGAATGCATTCCAGAGATGGGAGAGCAGCGATGACTTTGATTGACTTTGGTACACATCCTCCGATTTTGGTACACGTCGTCCTGATAGAGGGTATAAAAACTGGGCCCACTGGGCAAACTGGTCTCCCAAGGCTGCAGGCAGCTTCCACTCCTGGCAGGGACACCTGCAGGGTATGCCCAGCTGCAAAATGGGCAACACTCACTTTTGTATGAGTGAGTAAAAGTGCTGAGATCCGGTCACATACGGAGATACAATGCTAAAACAGTTACAGAGAGGACTCACCTGCGTTCTTATCTTAGGACAGTTCCCATTGTTCATCGCAGACAATTGCAAGGGAGAGGCTGTGTGTGTGTACGACGTAGATTTGCTACACAGTTGTGTATATGTTCAAAGGTACATAGCCACCATCCAACAGTGAGAACCTTAATGAGGTACTCAGGTTAGAAAACCAGACTCCTGACTCGAACTGGTTCACTCACAGCAAATCCAGAACATAAAAGTTAGGCTTTTGCTTTGACTCACATTCTGCAGGAGACTTTTCTTTTTATATTGTAAGGAACCTGCTTTCTAAATCAGGCACTTACTTGAAGCCTCTAAAGATGACCACAGGAATAACACCCCAGACATACATTTACCTCGGACTAGCCATGCTCTTACACAGCAGCTCTGCTTAGTGCCATGAGTTTCCTCTAATTTCACAAACACTGAAGCCCTCTGCAAAGTATTTTCAATCGAGACAAGAAACAACGAAAGCACTGCTTATCTGGTCTGCTGCTAACAAGCTTTTCAATATGGCTTTGTGGATGTTTGAATTCTATTTCCCAGAATCCTACAGATAATTTTCGCTCTTAGTTGGCCTAAAATATCCCGTAATTGTATTATGATTCATTACATTTTACTAACATAATGCCCAGGAGCCTAGACCTTTGAAAACTAAGGCACTAATGTTCATTTCACAGGGTTAAAAAAATATTGCTTAATTTATTTGCAGCTAGATACTCATTCTTTTACCTGAAATTTATGGAAATGGAGACTTGTCTTCTTTCCGGAAGTCCCCATGACATACAGAAAATCTGGAGTCAGCACAAAAGGAACTCTCTCCTTATTAATTCCAAGGAAGCTTTTATAATTCCCAAGAATATGGCCAAAATCAATATGGAAAAGGTTACCTTCATAAAGAGAAGAAGTCACAGTTACACTCAAATATAGTAAACTCCCAAGAACACTTGTATTTACAGTAGTTCTAAACCCTCTTTTTTTGGTATATATGATCACACTTTAGTTCAGCAGAAAAGACTATTTTTTCTCTCTTTTTTTTTTTTTTTTCTTGAAATAGATAATTCTGTCCTCTTGGCAAAATTACTTTTTATTTATCTTTGGCAGTTGTAAAAACTCAGCAGAGCTGTTGTGTTTTCTAAACATACACTCACAGCTTTTCAAAAATCAACCAAGGAAAGCCTGTGCCTCAGATCCATAATCAGGGCATCACTACACAGAAAAGGCTTGAGGGTTATCTTTCAAATACCCATGGGATTCTGGCACTACCCACCTCCTTGGCATATGTCATTGACTAGAACATGCTTCTTCCTCACAGACCTGCACTAGCAATTTCTAAACCACTCTGTACATGCAGATAAGTCCACACTGTCACCCTTTTGATAGCCTTCAGAGAGCAGTGGGGTATCAATTCCCACAAAAGCAATGAAAAACTTGCCTTTTAAGGATCTCTACACCTACAGGACTGGAATTTGCTGCTGCTCTTCAGATTACTTTATTACTTTCCCTGGCAGCCAGGTTAAGGATAAAAGAAAATGGTTACTTAAAACCACAGATTTGTAATAGTGGCACATGTATAAAAAAGATAAACCGCCAAATTATGTAAGATGATACTTAGAAGTGATCTGTAGGTGGAATATCCTTATTTTAAGCCAGCTTTCAAGTTTTGCCAACCTACCAAAGCTGACTCCCTGTAGACCTCTCAGACTGACATCCTTGTGGCTTCCTCGGCTTTAAAATAGCCCTGGTTAAAGACTCAAAGGCAAACCTGCTCCTGACCACAGCAGTAACACTTCTCTGCTTCCTCATCTACTGGCCTGTGCCTCATGTTCTGTCTGTGGGAATTAACACTGCATTATATTATAAATAATGCTGAAATTAAAGCATTCCTTTGTTGTCTTTTCCTCAAGGACTTCTGCTAAATTTTTTTACTGTAGTCTTCAATTAGCTGATTTCTGCCTTCAGGGTACTTCTCTCCATGCTTCAACTGGTAAAATTGTAAATATAATATGATGAATATTATATATCCAGCCTTCTAACTAAGCTCTAAAGTATTTTCCTAATTTTCTTAAAGACTAACTATGAAGTAAGAGCTCATGAAACGAAAAGTGAATTCCTTAGACCAAATAAAACTTTTCCATATGTACTGATTGTTCTAGTGTCCCTTCTGGGACTTCCATAGGTAAGTAAAATTAAGTATGAAACAATGTGCAGCTACAAAAGTAATTCCCAAAGTCTACAGTACAAAAAAATTCTGGGTTTCTTCAGAAGGATTGCAACTATGCCTCCAGACTTTGGTAGCAAAACCAATACACTCTATGTGCACTCATTTCCTAGGATTTTTTTTACAATATATAATGCAATTATGTTCCTCAGAAGTGAAAACATCTGAATTCTGACATACAGTTCCACTGAACTCTGTCAGAACCACATCCACCAGCAGGTGAATAGCTATCTGCTTTAGGAAGTTTTTCTGGTGTTTAGATCTTAGATGTAGACACTAAAACCCACTGTTTTACATTAATCATGACAGCTTGTATCAAACCACTCCTTGAAAAATAATGTCATTATTAATGATATGATAATGATAATACATAGAGCCTGTATGAAGGCCAGCAGGGGTGTGAATACAATTCAATATCACAGGAGGACCTGAACAACACTGACAGAACTTGACTGTGTCTCTTCATTCACTGTTAAATGTGTTATTTATTAAAATGAAAAATAAATTTAGTTAAGCATAGGAAGTCCACACTTCTATGAATTTCTCACAAAATAACCCACCTGTTTCTGTAATCATGATGTTGTCATTGTGCCTGTCACCTATTCCAAGTACAAAGGTTGCCACACAGTATCCAGCACAAGAGTAAACAAATCTTTCCACAGCTGCCTGAAACTAAAAATAAATCTTAGAGTTGACAAATGCTTCAATGCTAGACATTAAATGCGATAATTCTCAGAGTTATGTATCTTTCTGTTGACACGTATCTATCAGCAGTTAGACAAACTGTCTTATAAAATACACTACTGCACAGCAGAGATCAGGATCACAGCCCTGCACTGCACTCCCTGTGCTGTGTGAGCAGACTCTACCCCTGAAAGCAGCATATAGTTGCTCACACATTCTGAGGAAGAAAAGCTGGCAGAAAGCTCTAGTTGGTCAGTGGACCTGCCCAAACAAAGGAGTTGTGAATACCCAAAACTGTATCTAAATCCTCTAAAACCTGTCTTTCAGTGTTCTTAGATGTCCTTTCAGTCTTATCCTCATGTATCACTTCTAACTTCCACTGACAAAAAAGTAATTCCAAAAGCATCACAGACACCTGCAGCTGAGTGCAGGGAAAGCAAATGGATTTTTCACACTTCTGTAAGTAATAAACACAAACACAGGGGCTCTATGCTCCTAAATTAGTAGGGTGCATCTTGAAGTCCTACTTAAAAATTCAAAGAACTCACCTTCTCTTCAATCATACATCTCTCCTTGAGCCACTGGTTTAGTATTTCATCCTTAAATGCACCAGTGTTCCCAACTGTGCTCTGTTGAATTTTGGCAATTGTTGTAGCATCTTTCACAATTTCAATCATTCCTAGAAAAAGTATGGAAGAAGTTAGAATTAGTTATTGAATTTATATCAAAGCATATTAAAAATATGCAAAATTAAAGTTTAAACTGGGTTTTAAAATTGACTACAGAACTTCATAGGTTGTGAGCAGAGATTTATTTCACAAGCAAAAATGGTTCTTGTTTATTTCCAGCTGAAACCAGCCAGAGCTTGTAAACAGCCTGGCATCCTAAAATCCTCCTCTTTTAAAATGGAAAGCATCACATGATGAGTGGGGACCCTCTGCATAAGGCTGTTCCCCAGGAGAGGAACTACTCCTGTCCTGAGCACTACTGACATTCTCCCCAGCTTCTCTCCAACTTCACAAATATGAGGAGCTAAAGAAAAGTTTCAGTGTTGCAGCAGTCTGGGGATGCAAGTGTTGCCAGGGCAGTGGCAGAGGAACTGAGCTGGCCATCCTGCAGTAAATCCAATTTAAGCTTCAGTGTTCATGTACACAGAAAAGTTCAGAAATACCAGTACCCAGTGAGGTATGGCAATGGGACTGCTGGTGGAAAGCTCTGGTTATCAGGGCCCAGGGGTCTGTTCCAAAACTGAACAGACCCTCGCCAAAGCAATTGGCACACCACCACAAGGTGGTGCAGAAACAAGGCCTTATACTGTCTGTGCCAACACAGCATGTGATGGAGGGGAAGTTAGAGGGAAACACAGGAACAGAGGTCGTAACACAACTCTACATTCTACCCAAGATTAGCAAATGCATTCTGCTCTTGGACTGGGCACACATGTATGCGGGGGAGTCAGATTTTAATTGAGCTTATTTGGTAATTGGAAATATTTTATTTTCCTCCTCTGGTTCAAGTTCAACAGTGTCTTCTAGCTTCAGCTCCAGCTCAGAGATGAGCAAGCAAAGAAAATTATCCCTTTCTCCTCAAAGCAATTCAAAGCAGTTTCTTAGTTTCAGTTTGACTCTTTCTGAAACAGATCATTTTATTTCTATTTTTTCCTTTTTCCTTTTGCAATTACTGCATTATGTACAAATTTTTTCAGTCACGGAATAACAACGCAGTAATCTCTTCTGCCTTCCATTCATGACTGAATTCATGGCTGAATACCCCCTGGGGGTATTTCTTCTGTCTTTACAGTGGCTTGGATTTGTTTGTAATAAAACTATTGTGGAAACATGACCTCTGAAACCCACGGTCAAGACCACCAAATTAAAAAGCTCTGCATTTTGATCCATGCTTGCCAAGTTGATGTTTTTCTCCCAGGAGTGTGCTCCAGATCATATTCCAGCTGTTGAAAAGGTTTTCCCTGCCTGTGCTCACAACTCTCCCTCTACCGGCCAACAGCTCCTTGATTCCGGGGGCGCAGAGCTGGCACAGGAGGCATCTTCTCTAACTAGGACAGAGGTTCTCAGCTGGGCTGCATTCGGCTGGGAGGAAGTGCAGCAGTAAATGCACTATGCGATGGGTTTCTGGGGATCTGTGGTACTAAAGCAGGTGACTTTCTAAGAGCCAGTTTGAACTCCCCTGAAACTCAGCAGGGATGCAGCACAGTAAGTAGTGATAATTGTCTCGCAGAGCTGGGAACATACAGACATGTCAAAGGGAGGGAGAACAGGGTGTGATCTTTTACTAGTGACACACAGAAGAGAAAATTCCTCCTATAGAGCCGAAGTCTACTTGGCAGCAGCAGTGGAGAGGATGCACGTTTCCAAAATTACAAACTGCGCTGGATGCAGATGTCTTTCACAGACTGAGAGAGCCCTGCAAGGGAAGGGAGGCCAGCCCCAGGTGTAAGACACCTGTTTCACCCTATGCTCAGTGTAGAATAGGATACTGTCCTTGTGTCAATACACAGAAACTGCCCAAGTTCCATGGAAGTATTAGAAGGGAGGGAAGAAGAAGCTTGTAAGAAGACTGAGTGTGAATATTGTGAAAGAACATTTGCACGCCACTACTCTTTGGTTTTGTTCCAAACAAGCATAAGCTCTATATCAAAGTATCCCCACACTGGGTATTACTAATTTATGCTGCAGGTATTCTCAGCAAACCGAGCAGGAGTGTTTATATGATTACCCATGCCCCTACTGTGGAGCTAAACGGATGCTAAATTCTTACATCTCTTCCATGCATATGGGAAAATAAAAAATTATTTCCTTAAAGAGACAAAGGAATGGGGAATCAACTAAGAATTTGTGAAAGAATAATTAAGTCTATAGCTTGAATATGAGAATGCTGGGATCACTAGCAGAATTTCTCCTTCTTGCTCCATTTTTTCAATAAATTACATCGTCTTAAGATGATTTTAAACAAAATCATACAAAGTCCTAAAAATCTCTCTAAAATATTAGGTTTATTTTAACACATCTAAAAGAGGAAAAAAATCTCAATCCTCCTTATATTTAGATAGTATTTTGATTAATAATGTTCCATTTCCTTTATTATTAAAATGAATTTACAATTGAATAATATATATTGATAGAAATTTATTAAAGAGAAACTTGCAGCACCACCCAAGCAGTTGTACTTGCACAGGAAAGTCCAGCTAACCATAGTTAAGCTGGTGCAGCAGCTCAAGGACATTCATCAGAAGGGCAGAAACCACTGCCAAGATGCAAACGAAGGCTGCTCACAGAAAATGTAATAAAGTTCTATTTATCTCAGGACCACAGTACATATTAGAATAGTTCTCCCATACACAGCTTCTGTAAATATGATATATTGAATTTCTAATCACAGTGTGATCACATACCTATTTTGTTCCCTGTAGAAATACAACCATACGGTAACAAACAGAGGTCCAAGGATTCTGCTTCCCAAATGGATTCCATAATTCGAAGAATCTAATAAAAAAAAAAAAAGTATATGCCAAGTTATTTCAAATTATTTGAATGTTACGTATTACTCATACAAATAACATTATCCAGGTTTCTGAGATGGGGCTAAACTTACAAGGTTATGGGACACATTAAGAGACAAATACAGAAAGTGTGCAGCCATTCAAGATTATCACTTACAGAACCATGGTTTGTATTTCCTCATCTGTCTTGTGGTTGGGCAATCTCTACCCTTTATAAAGTATTAATAAATATATTCTATAATTTCCACACATGCTGTGAGGTTGAATACATTAGCAAATACGTCCATTTTTGCCTGTAAACACCCTCAAAAGTACTAACAAACCAGTTTTCATAACAATCACCGAAATATTACTACAAGTAATGCTACCTATCAGTTTCTTTTTCATTTAACTTCACCCATTGCATAAAAAAATAACAAAAATGCTTCATCAGAAAAACAGGCCATCTTTCACTAAGTAAGATTCCATCTCTAGAACACCCAAATGTGATGTATGGCATATGGCAGGAAAAAACAGGGTTACAGTATGTACTGAGTCTGGCTGGGATGAAGCTCATTTTAGAGCAGCTTGTACGGTGCTGAGGTTTAGGCTGGTGACCAAAGCAATGCTGAGAACACACTGATGTCCCAGCTATTGCTGAACAGTGTTGGCTAAGCATCAATGCTGCCCGTTCCTCATCTGCCTCACTGTGACTACATCAGGGAGGGCACAAGAGCTTGGGAGGGGACACAGCCAGGCAGATGATCCAAACCAACCAAAGTAATACTCGATGCTCAGCAATACAAGAGAGAGGAAGAGGGTTATGTAGGTTAACCATCCCCTATGCAGGAACTGGCTGGACACTGGTCTACCCATGGGATGTGGTGAGTGACTGCCTTAGCATCACTTGTTTTGTTTTCTTTCTCTCTTCTTCCACTTCTCCTTTGCTTACTAAACAATTTTCAGCTTAACCCACAAGTTTTCTTGCTTTTACTCTTCCTTTCCTATTTTCCCATCCCACTGGAGTTAATCCACAAAACAGCAACATAAGAAACTGCAGTACAAGAAACATCCAATGTCGATGTGAGCCTTGCCATACATAGTTTAAAAAACAAAAGACAACCTCATATTTCATATGGACAGTAAAGATAAGGTACATACACTTCTGAAAAGGAAAACCATGTTAAATATTTTAAAATATTCACATTATTCACTTTATATGTTTTAGCTATCATACCTGTAAAATAAGCATGTCCTGACGGAGGTCATCTCCATGTTTGAAGATTATGCCTATGGTTTCATTTGACAGAGCTGTTGGATCTGCACATTTAAATTCAAGCCAGAGGGGCTTCTTCTTAGATGCCATTACTTTACATTTTTCTATCTGTAAAAGACACATTTATTGCTTGCTAGCCATTGTACTCCAACATCAGCACAACTAACCTTTTTACACAGCAACTACAGAATAGTTTAGCAACTTTCAATCAGTTATAGCACAAAAAACACACTGAAAGTAAATGTAAGGAACAGTGTTCAATTGCCATATAAAGCCTCACTGAACCTGCACAACTTTTAACCACTGCCCAACCAACCAAGGAAAAAGTGTATCTTGACTCTCCAAAACTGGATTTAGCATGTAAATCTGCTTCAGATAGATTTAAACCAGGAACAGAGAATCTGACAAAACTGGCAAACATGGACCCTCATAACAGCATTTCAACAGGTGCTTTGCAAAACCAGAACATAATCACTGTCCAATGCAATCTATCACACCATCCACCCCGTGACTTCCAGCAACTACATGCCATATTGCTTGACTCAATTTCCTTAGCAAATTGTTCAAATTCATGGAGAATATGACATTTTTGAAACTAATTTAACATAATCATTCATAAAATAAGAAAATTAATTCCCTAGTTTTATTAAATTTTTAATCTTGATAAATTCAGCATTACAATAACTGAAACTGCATTACTTCAAATGTTTTCTCCAGTAATTATGGCTAGCACAACTGTAGTATGCAATACTTTTTATTCTGGAATTCCTGATTCATGTACATTTCTATGTACAATAAAGCCATCTAAAATTAAAAAAAAAAAAAAAAGCAACTGCACATTAGTGTTTGAGAGCTGATAGAGAGAGATGACATAGGAGATGAGTATTTTAGAATATTCACATTTCATAAACTGAAGTTCTGAGCCTGTAGTTTAAAGCAAAACAGTTTTTACCATCCTTGGTTTCAAAAAGGAAAGAAGTTTTCAAATCCTTGAACTTACTAGAAACACACTGATTTTGCTTCTAGTATTTGGTTTAGACTAGTACCTCAGCAATGCACAGCGGGGAAGTGTTTAATTCTCTCAGCTTGAACATAGATGAGCTTATAGCCTGTTTACCAAGGCACAGGTTTATTTAACAGAAACATGGCCATATCTAGACCTGGTGATACCTAACATCCAAATGAACACTTGGCTGTTCAGCAATTCCTTAAGTTGGATGGTCCTTGGCTAAGAGAAAGTTAAAGGGATTCTTTTCTTGTGGGGTCCTTGCTGCACATCAAGTCCCTCCAAGGATCTCACTATGCCTCTTTACCCACACCCCACATTGCATAGCAAATGCATGATCCAATTTCCTTTCACTACACATCCTGGCTTAAACTAATGGAAAAATTATAATTTCCATTTAATGATTAGAATTTCACGGGTTGTTGCATTTTTTGTAGCACATGGTGGCATATCATTACACTTAGAAAAATTGTAACAGCTCTGGGACCAAAAACTTACTGAGTCTATGAAATGTCATCATATTCACACTGAAATAAGACTTTCAAACATATTAAGCAAGATTTTTTAGCAAATGACAGATACTTGCAAATAGACTTTTTTTTGAAAAGGATTTTCAGAAACTCAGAATATACTCACCACTAGGGCTCCTGCTCTTAGCCCAGGATCATATGGAACTCTAAAACTTTCTGGAAGTTTGCTGCTCTGTAATTTTTCAAGCTTTTGTCTCAGCTGTGCAATAACTGCAATCACAAGTAAAAATCCACAATGAAATAAAAAGTTGGAAGGTAAAAAGCTTACAGGTAATCAAACTTGTTAAGCATCGTGATTTGGTTAAAAAGCTCTGCTTAGCTACTTTTTACACTGCTTTCCTCATGGATCTCCTGATTTGAGGAATGGAGGAAGACTCTTTAACTTGCCCTATCAATGGTCAGGGCTGTTTCAGATGCCTAAAGTCTTCAAGCACCACACAAGTCATGTGATTTCTCTGCAGTGTTAGAAGCACTGAATAGTGCTTGGCGTCCTTCCGAAAACTCAAGAGATTGCATTAAAATGTCAGCTTTCATTAAAAAAAAAAAAAAACACAGTAGAACACACAAAAATACTCTGCCCTTATAACTGACAAGAAATGCAGAGAGACTCTTGGCTTTTGAATTTTTAAGAGACAATATAGAGGTACTGAATTTCCTAACCTCCTAAACTGGTTTCATATTGCAGCCCTGTTAATCTCACATTCCAGTAAGAACAAAATTTGCTGTATATTTATATGAACAAAAATTTTACTGTTCATATCTGAACTCAATCTTTTAATTCATAAAACTTCAAGCCTCTGAATCTTCAGCTCAGAACAGTAAAGATTACACAACATGTGACGTACTTTATTCATCTCAGCTAGCAGGTGTTAGCAGCATAAGCAATACACTGGTTATTACCCTGCATTAGGACAAAGACCTTAACACCGTTCTAAAATGGTAGCTGTAGCTACACAGCAGAGGATGCATATACATGTTTGAGTAATTTTGGAGATAAAAATTAAAAATCAAAAAAAACAGTACTGAGAAAACTAGACATGGACCTGGATACTTAAAACAGGATCATAATCAGAGAATCATGGATCAGTTTGGGTTGGATGGGACCTTGAAAGGCCATCTAGTCCAACTCCCTTGCAACAAGTCAGGACATCTTCAACAAAAATTTCTCAGAGCCCTGTCCAACCTGACCTTGAGTATTTCCAGGCATGGGACATCTCCACCTCCCTGGGCAACCTATTCCAGTGTTTCAACACCTTCACCATAAAAACTATCTTCCCTATGCATAATCAAATCTACCCTGCTTTAGTTTAAAGCCATTAACCCTTGTCCTATTCCTGCAGGCCGTACTATAACGTTTGTCTCCACCTTTTTTTTATAAACTCCCTGTAAGCACTGGAAGGCTGCTGTAAGGTCTCCCCAGAGCCCTCTCTTTTCTCCAAGCCTTTCCTCATAGGAGAGATGCTCCAGCCCTCTGATCATTTTTGGGACCCTCCTCTGGACTCATTCCAGCAGGTTCATGTCTGTCCTGTCCTGAGGGACCCAGATCTGGACATAGTGATCCAGGCGGGGTGTCACAAGGGCAGAGAAAAGGGGTAGAATCACCTCCCTCAACCTGCTGCCCACACTGCTTTTGATGCAGCCCAGGATACTTTGGCTTTTTGGGTTGTGAACACACACTGACAGAAAATGGAGACAGTTTAAAAGCTGCTGTCAAATTAAGAAAGTGAAGCCAAAAGAATTTGCCAAGAACTCACAGAACACAAATGTTACACATAACCTACAGGGTTTTAGAAAAGAACTACCTAGCAGTGCCTGGTGACCAATTTCTTGTGGTAAAAAATAAATTTGACAGCAATACACCAGAAATACTAAGTAGACTTTATAATTAGACTCTTTTCAAAAAAAACCCCACCCAAACCCACAATAACACGAAATCAAATCAAAATCAAGCCAACTAACAAAAAAACAAAACAAAACAAAACAGCCAAAAAAAACCCACACCAACAAACCAACAAAAAAAAAACCCTAACAAAATCCCCTCCCCTTCAAAAAAAAACCCACTTAGCTTGTAGTAACTTGGGTCATGAAACAGCTATCTAAAACAGAATTATAGATTTCCTAGAAAAATGTAGCTTTAGTTTAGGGTTGGACTTGATGATCTCGGAGGTCTCTTCCAATCCAGTTAATTCTATTTCAGTAAGTCTCCTCATTGTAATTAATATAATTCAAAAACTGTAGGCCAAACAATTGAAGCAAGCAAAGATAAGGAATTAGCTGATTTTAAAACACATGTAAAGGCACTAGCTAAAACAATTTTCAAGTTGATCTGGTTTAAGAACAAGGTGCTATGCATTTTAAGAGATGAAACAGCTGCACAGACACATTTCTGGGAAACAAATTATCTAGCACAGTGGTGATGAAAGCAGATAATCCCATGAAAGATGTATTACGATCTTAAGAATTTATTTATTTATTATTACTTGCTATGTTCAAATATAAGCAAAGAGATTACGTGAAAAGTTAAAGAAACAGTCTGACAGCATGATTGCTACTGGAATAGTATGGACCTAACAGGAAGGAATTCATCCTTTAAAAAAATCCATAAACACTGGAGGAAGAAATATATATATAAGAATTAGATTAGACTGCATGACAGAATGAAATGAAACAGAACAAAACATTCAGACTGAAAATATGAACAACGATGAACATAGAAATGACAGGGCAAAAAAGAAGCAATAACCTAAAGAATAAATTTTAGGATATACATTTTTTAAAAACATAAGAAGTAGAGGGTGCCTGTAGGGAAAATTATGTCCTCAAAAAGATGAGAATAAATTACATTAGCTATAGCATCAGTAGGACACTCCACATTTTCAGGAAGACTTATTTAGTGAAAATGTCAATTATATAAGTCATCGTTCAATGTTCTGCTGTATATTACATACAAAGATTCTTTAACTTCAAACCTGGTGGGTGTTAATGTGATTGCTTTCTCTTGAAACTTTTCTTCTTTGCCCACATATCCTTCGAAGATAATATATTATGGAATCCACTGCTGTTACAGACATGTACATCTGCAAGGATGTAAAGTTTCTTTCCAAAATACGGAATTCTGACTAAATATATTTAGGTTATAGAGTATTTTAAGATAAATTTAGGAAGTTGATTAGAAACAATGTTTTATATGGGGTTTCAGTAAGCCCTTTAACTCACACTATGTGGTAACATAACAGATACTACACATTTTACTGAAGAATAAATGCATATTTCCTTCAATTTTCTTTTGAAACACCACTGCAGCCACTTCTGCACAGCCAGAGTGGAAAGGCTCTCCAATCCAAGGAATTCCTGGCTGGAACATTCCAGGCTGAACACACAGGAAGAGGTGGTCTCTCTACAGCTTTTAGAGCTTTAATATTATCATGTCTTCTCACACTTACCCCCATCACCAAGCAAGCGACAAAGATGATGATAGACAAGCTTTTAAGGAAGTTGGGAGAAAAAAAAAAAAAAGGCAGGCAAAACCCAGAGGCAAACAGGCACTGCATAACCCTACTGTGGCTTCCAAAGCAGTGCTTACAAGAACTGGAAATTACAATACCACATCCATGTCTCCCAGGACAAATGCTCCTCAAAGACAGTAGATTCAGCCCTGATCCTCCACCAGCTTCTTTCATGGCATAGCAGAAGCTGTCCTGGACTCCTCCACCATGTTCTTGCCAAGAGTCTTTTAGTGAGAGCTTAGGGTAAGGCCGAGTTTCTTGGCAAGTTTCACTCTTTATTTCCAGTTGATATTTGTGTCCTGGATTGTTTCTTTCTTCAGTGCTGGCATCCAGCTAAGGGTTACGTACAAGAACTTAGCTGTTTGCCTTTTGTATGGTGTGAAGTTCAAGAAGATAAGCCAAAGCATGGGAAAGCACTGGGTGTCTAGAACATTGATATTCTCCCCCTTCTGGGGTGGAATGAGCAAACTATTACTGGTTCAATCATTATTAGCTTACACGCATCTTAAAAGAAAATTATGCCCTTTGACAGTAATTTATCCACAAATTTAACAGTACAATTTGCTGTTTAGTTTTTCACACCCAAAGAGAAAAAAAACAGTAATATTACCAACAAAGAAATTCCTGTTAGCAAATACCTTGAGAAGTAACATCATACTTTTCTGCAGAAACTGATTTTATCTCCATTGTGACTTTGTGCAGCAATTCAATGACTTGAACCTGCTTCATGAAGTCATCCAGCATGGCCTTCCCACAGCCCCTGAGATAGGCCTCGAGGATGACGGCAAACCTCTGCTGGTAATGCATGGACTGGGCAATCTCACTTCTCAAGAACCAAAACAAGAAGTGACCAATTCTTTTGTTCTGGAGGTGAAGAAAAATACTGCAATGAGCACACATTTCTTGACAAAGGGTTTTACGCCAGCAACTTCAGCGTAAGTTGGCTGTATTTTGAAGTACTTACCCTCAAACCACGTTTGAGCAGAAATCTGGCTAATGCGCTGTCATGATATGGCTCAAATTTCACAGCCTGAGCAATAAAAACATAGAAGGCATGTTATAAACACATTTAAGATCCCAATGCACTTACACTTCACCACTGACATCTACAGAACACACTGCTGCAGGAATAGAAAATGTATAACAAAGCAGGTCTTTTTGAGGCTTCTCTGTGTCTCATTCCAGAAGCACTTTTTCTTTGCAACAAGTTCTTTTCAGGTTTATTATTAATGTGACAAAGCAAGGCATGGAGTATCTAACCAGTGAGGCCAACCTGAGTACATGAAGAAAAGGGAACAAAACATCACTCCCAGGCTGTAGCAAAAGCTAGCAAAATCCGGAAACAGTCTGCAGTCTGACTGACACTGAGAATGCTCGAATTTATTACTGCCAGATGAAATAACATATTTGTAATCATTCTCCAATAAAAATATCAATAATAAAGTACTGGTTTTGGACAACATCTGCTACTTCGGGAGTAAGGCCCCAGGGTTCACTGCTGCTTCTCCAGAAAGCATGGGATACAGGACAGGCTTCTCAGGGCACCTACCTGGCCTTTAACCCCTAAATGAATCATAGAATCAATTGGGTGGGAAAAGACCTCCGAGATCATCAAGTCCAACCCTTGATAACGGATAAAGGCTCTGATACACATTCTGTACTGATGTAGTACAATTAAGAGAAGACTTCACCAGAGCTTTTTTTTTAATGACTCTGTGAGAACAGATGTATTTTTTCTCTTCCAAAAGCTGCTCCCCTCCACCCAAGCCCACAGACATTTCCAAGGTACTGTCAAAAAAGGGTGTGGGAAAAAAGTCACCAATTCTTTTCAAGTGTCAGCATTGGAACTTTTTTGCTGTTATTCTCTTCTTCAATCCGATAACCAAGTGAATTGGTCTTCCAGAAAACTATTGCACTTTCAGGTACTGGACTGTGCCAAAGAACTTCTCTACTTCAACTCATTTTTCCAGCAGCTTCTTTCCTGTTGCTTCAGGAACTCAAGTTTATAGGAGCTTTGTATTAAGATTAATGGTGGGGAAAAAAGTATGCGTGTATATCCTATGGCAAGAAAAAAGAAATAAGAAGCATACAATCTCTGAAACAGAGTCACAAAATCCTGTCATGGACTGAGGGGGTTGGTGAATGGCTTCAGGTTCTGGAAATAGAGTGCCAGGAAGCAGCCTGTAGGGAGATTAAGGGAAAACAAAGGGATGCACAGAGAGCTGGGTGCATGTAGTATGCTCAGCTTTCAGAAGCAACTAAGTATGCAAACCTCTAGCAGTAGTTATTCAACAGAATATAATGGCTCTTTCAAGATCGTTGCAGTCTGCAGCTTGCAAAGAAGCAACCAAGCCATCAGCAAAGGTCTGCTAAATTCATCAAACAAATTATAGTTTTATAAACTCTTAAAAGTGCTGTGGCACACAGTTGCTTTTTTATTAAAATATCAGCACGATTTCTGAAAATTAAATCTTCCTGTGGGTTTATTCAACAGGAAAAAAATCAAGCTTTTTCAGTCAACCTAGAATGAACCAACTCAGAAAAAGGTCATAAAGACACGTTCTTTCCAGCTGCTGGCTAAGAGACAGACAAGAAAGCCAAGCACCAGGCTTGCCCTTCTCCTATATCATAATCCTGCAAGAATTGTCTTGACTGTCTCTGCGGTACTGTTCTATTTCCCCAAACAACTTCATCTTATTTAGGAAAGATAATAAGAATTCACAACTATAAACTGATTTTATGATATATAGATGCTTTTACTTTGTGTATGAGATTAGGAGGTATGAGGGGTTTTTAATAAAAATTAATTTTCACTGCAGTAAGGTGCCCAACAGCAGTAACTATCACATAAATTCAAATGGATTTGCTTACAGTTCCAAGGAAGCCTATTAAAACCCTCATTCTGGTATACACTGTGCTTAATGTTCTCAGTGCATATCCTTGAAAAACAATTTAAGACTGAAATACAGTCAAACATCCAACATTGCTTCAAAACAAAGCCTCCTCATTAAATTTGCAAATATATTTTCATAAAATAATATTAAAAATGTATTATGAGCATCCTTATCGAGCTGATGGTTTAGAAATAATTACTTTAAAAAGTCAAGCCCATTTTTCTTTTTTTCCTCACAAAGTCAAACATCAACTTTTGCACAGTAACAATAAAATCTGGCCATTAAAAGATGTCTGCTGGCCCTTCATCAGGTCCCTGCACATACCTTTGCCTTGTCAATTCAGCAGAAGAGCTTTAGTCACTGCCATATACATGCACTGCAGTCATTGGTGTTCGTCTTACAAAGGATTCTGTTGCATTTTAACTATCCTATCCATGTTCTATCAACTGTACAGAGAATGACAGACCATTATTGGAAGATAAATAGGTTTATTTATAGTGTGGCTGCTTGTATTTGGGATAAACCTGGGGGGAAATAAAAGGCTTGCTGGATTTCTAACTCTAAGGGAAGGTAAAATGGAGGTAAAAAGAGGGCAATAAGCCACAGAGCTTTCATAAAGGCATGCATGTGAAAGGTGATGAGCGTTTGCAGAAGAGACATTTCAGATGTGTCCACTCAAGTAAAGGAATAGATGACATCCATTCTCTGAAAAATGTAGATTTTTAAATATATTGTGGTACCAAAGCTTTGCTGCAGGATGCTGACAGCCTACATTCCACTGTTAGCTGAGAAACAAAGACAAGGAAAGCAGTAGAGAGGTGAAAGTTGGAATCTAGCATTTTTTCCTTTTTAAGGACAGTAATCCTGTAATTTCTTACAACATCTCTTACTAAAAATGACACAGCTAAGTTAAACCACTATGATTTTATGTATTTTATTTAAGTGTTAGAGAGATTTATTCTCTTTAAAACTTACCAGATTTGTACTTCCTGAAAACAAACAATTTCAAAAACAAACAACAAATGGAAAAAACCCCAGTATTTCCTCCATTCTCTCAGGCATTAGGACAGCCACCAATCACCATTCCAAACTCTTAATTTGGATACCAAAAAAACTGTATAAAATTGCTGAGCCACATGTAGACAGCAAAAGCTCACAAGCCAAGCAGATATATATAGCAGCAACTACGTGGGAGGTCCAATGAGGTAACCGTAGCGACTCGTTTGGTTAATGCAGAAGTGCATAAATTCTGCCTAATCTTCGAGCAAGCAAAGACAAGGCTAGAAAGGTTTTGTTTAAGCACTACTGCAGCAAAACCTGAAATACTAACTTCCATTTTCCTGGGAACCCAGGTGTTCTCTGAAATCGCAGAAATTAAAAGCCACATCCTGCAGCTTCCCCAGCTGTAGCTGTTCCATTTCTATTTTCTTTCAAATTTTGAATGTCAACTTTGTCCTCTGATTCTCTGAAAGAAGTATTTCCCGCTCTGAGGGACATCAGCCTTTCCATGCAAACCAGAGCCCTGCCAGGTGCAGAAAGCCTGTGGAGTGGCGTGGCTGCAGGGGCCACGCTCACCAGGAAGAACACGGGGTTACAGCTTCCATCAGCCACCAGAGGAGACTTTGCTGCTGCCCAGTGACAGCACCATGTTGAGAAAAAGCAACCAAACCTATTTTCACTTATAACTGATATAAACCTTCTCAACATTTCATCCGGCAGATTCATATACAAAGCGCTTCTAATCGATACAGAAGTGATTCATTGCCATTAAACCCACAATTTTTCACCCAAGTTCCTCAAATGACTTAACCTTATTACGTAGTCCTAGCAACTCTTTAGTTACTTTCAAAATTTTTTTTGGAAGCTTCTAGATAAATTTGGTCCCCTTAACACTACAAGACTGAAGTCTGCAATATACTGTGTAACTACACTGGTGTTCTTGACCTAAAACCCAACCCCAGGTTTTTCTTCAGGCCTTGCCCATGTCAACTCACCCTTACTTTCTTTCTGTCTACACTCTTTTGATAAAGTCGGTTAACAACTCTTCAGTGCTGTATGATTCAGACTTGATATGAACAGGATTAAAGACAGCGCAGTTAGGATTTACTCCCACCACAGCTGTGCTGGCATTTAATTTTCAGAAAAACTTACTACTGTAAACACAAGATGCAAATTGTAAGACACAAGGCAACAGTAACACAGAAACAATGACACAAGCAAAACACAAAAAGTAGAAAAGTGTGTTTTGTGTTAACCTGGTTACTACCACTGCTTTGACTAAACACTGAAGACTTCAAACCTAGGGATTACTAATAAGACCTACTAAAATGAGAATGGTGATGGGGTAATGCAAATATTCCTGCAAGGCAGAGCTTAAGAATGCAAATACACCTTACCTGCACAAGCTGTAAAAGATAATGAAGAACATCATCATCTTCTAAACTTTCCAGTTTTTGAACTGCCATTGCTCGGACATTTTCATCTGAAAAGTTACAGTCCAGAAGTTGCATTGTAAGTCCAACATCTAAAGTGCTCTGATCCCAAACTTCTTTTTTAGCTAGCAACTGGTATGTTTTGGCCACTATTTCTTGTTGTCCCCATTTCACAGAGCTAAGCAGCTTAGGATATGCCTTGGGGTGCTTTATGCTTTCATATCTAAAGTGCCACAACAGTTCTTTGTCCTCAGGAGAAAGTGGATTAAGTGGGTCAGTTGCTATGATCTCTTCAAGTTGTTTGCGAAGCTGGTTGGGCATTTCAGCTCGGGTCCTGTCCCCTTGGGGGTCTGATGCTATCCTGTGCTTGGGCAAGGCAATTGGGTGACAATATTTGTCCAGCACAATAGAGATAGCCATTGAGTTTTCTTTATCTGGGTTAGTTGCTGATGTGAGTTTGTCTGCATTGATACTTCCTTGTTCTTCCCCCTTGCCTGGAATTTTCCACATGTGGAGCACATACTCCCCACTTCGTAGCAAGAAACGGTGATCTATCAACAGAAGATTTACATAATAGAGAAGCTGGGTTTTGCATTTTGTATCGGAGTTGGAGGATTCATGTGACTGAAGGTTTGTCTTTGTGGAAGGCCCCTGTGCTTTGCCACAGTATATCTGAAGATTCAGAAGAGCTCCTTTAGGCAAATCCTTGATTTTGATATCAAACTCCAACCAAATATTCCACAGAACCTCCTCAGTAAAAGGTTTCGATGAAGTTCTTCTCTGTGAAAGGAGCTGCTGCCCGTGTTGAATGTTAGCTTCCACAAACACAGTAAGATCAGTATTTCTTGGTAAAACTGGGATATCAATGCCAATTATTTTCACCCTAAATTTCCTATTACAATCCCACAATGAGATAGTGAAGACTCTCTCATGATCTTTTCCGTCTATTGTCAATTGTTCGTGATACCCTGTAACTCCTGTACAGTCATCCACCAAGGGCCATTCTTCCTTCTGAACCTCATCCTCATTCGGGTTAGGGGGATTGTCTAGGACAAGGTGGATTTCTTCCCCATTCTTAAGGCACTGTCTTATCCAATGAAAGTCTTTGATTGGTGTCTCTCCAATAATGTACTCATCTCTGCCACAAACCCTGAGAACAAAATCCAGCTCACTATGATCTTCAGGAATGTCCATCAAAGATTTTTTCTTTGCCATTTTTGTGAAAAAGCTGTGAAGAATCATATCTGGAGTGTCATTTATTGACACTTTAATTTTTTGACTAGTTGTTCCTCTATGTATGATTATGAAAATATTATTATTAGTGATCTTTTTAAATAAATATTCTGGGAGTGGCTTGGATGTAGTCCATGGGTGCATTGCGTACAATTTAGGATCTCTGCAGGCTACCTCTATCATTCGTGGAGTGACTAATCTGCGACGGGTAAATTCTAGCTCATCATCATGCACGTTGCTTACGTCAGTGACATCGTAACCAATTAAATCATTAAGCTGCCGCTGAAATTCCTGAACTTCTTCCGATGGTTTTTGTTTCTGGACAACATAGATCTTGCCTACCTTTTTCTGTAACACTTTCCAGTACAGTATGCAGTCCAATGTCTGCAGTACTTGATGTTTATCATAAATTTCATACCATTGCCCTTTCTTCTGATACTGCAGGACAAACTGATCTGGGGTGAATGCATGGTAGAAGTCTGTGGTTTGACTCATCTCTATTGCACGCATCCAAATCTGTGCCTTCATTTGCTCAACCGTACAGTTGCCAGCTATTTCAAGTAACATCATTTCTGGTACTTTAGTATGTTTATTGCTTGTAGGTAAAATGAACTCAATGGATATCAGTTCCATTGAAGAAAAACTACTGGATGTACAATGAGGTTTCATTCTTCTTCTCCTTCGTTTGTTTTCCTCTCTCATAACAACAGTCTGTTCGTGATCCCCCAACTCCATGCCAGAAGAAATCTAGCAAAACATAAAAATTCTTGATTACTTCTTCATTTACATTTATCTTTACTCTAATTTTTTAAGTCTTGCTAATTAAAATCATAGACTAGAATCCTGCCATGTATACACTTTTCATATTTCTGCTTCTCCATAATTTCTTGTCACAAATACTTGATTTACATGGATAAACTCAGATGTAGTCTATTCAATTCAATACCAAACATAAATTAAAAAAAACCAAACCAACCCTACAGTGATTAAATCATTAAAATGGAGCTTTTAGACATCCTTCCCAGATTTAACTGACGATAAGCAATCTGAGTGTACGACCTCCATATTGATTTGTTCTTGCTTCTATTTGATCTAACACTGATTCTTCTGCTGCCTCATCTGTTTTGATGATGCTGATTTAACACAAGTGGATTTACATAGAAATCAAAAGACATACTCCTGTGTATGAGCAGAATACGATCCCACTGAGCTCCAGGAATGGCAGAAAGTAACAAAAAAAAGAGCAATATTTGCAGACTGGACAGACATGAGCTTATTCCCAGTTTCCTCTGCCTCTTTTAACTGATGAGGAATCAGGACTTCCACCTAAAAACAGCTCTTAGGATTCAAAAGTCAGAAACTATTTCTGAAGACAGGTATTTAACGTGCATCTAAATTCAAGGCTAGTGTCCTTACATGTGCTTCCTTTGAATTCACCAGACCGATAACATCCATCCATTTTCAAAGTATGCACTTTCAATATGAACTAATAGTTTATTACAGAAAAAAAATCTCCCCAGCTGACGCCGATTTATTACCCTATATATCAAATCACACCTAAACCGCCGGTGAAACAATATCAAACATAAGTAGTCTACCTTATCCGCATTCAGTAAACAAAATATATTCTTGCTTTCAGTCAATCTCCATTGAACAATATTAAAGTGGAACTTATTCACCGAGAGCTTGGAAAGCGGAAGGCAGAGCTGATTGAGCACACTCGCACAAGCCAAACTGCCATAGCATAGTGAAGTTCCTTTCCAAACAACACTTTCTACATGGAAAATCTTTCTCTAACTGCTGGAGAAAAGTAAAATCAGTGTAATGATTCCTTAGCAGATAATAAAACAAGCAGATAAAAATGTAAAAGTTTAAACTGAAGCAACACAGCACGTTAACTAAAATTCTTTTTCAAGTTCCGGAAAGCAGTGACTGTGGTCTATAATTGACAAAGTAGAAGGAAATATTACCTGCTTATAAAACAAAGGCTGACTTGCCGAAGACGACTCATTTGTTTAATTTTTGAAGTTCCTATTTTTTTAAAGGAGGATCATTCACACAAAAAGTTTCTTTGTTTAGGCTGTTCTGCTTTTCTTGCTTGCCCTCATATCCAGATGCAAAGGAAGTGCTGCACTTACCAGGAAGGAAGTTTTAACCAAGTCGATTATACATATGATTGCTCATTTTAAAAAAAGTCAGAACGCTTTTCCTGTTATAACAGTAAAAATACACCAACAGTACACCAATTTAACATACACACATAGAAGACATGCTTAAAGCCTTTTAAAAATAGCAAAGAATAATCTGGGCAATAAAGGTAATGAATTCAATAAAAAATAAAACATTTTAAACCAAAACATTTTTGAGAGATTACTATAAAAGAGTAAAATACCAATACTAGATAAAAGACAAGTATATCTGCAATGTTTCATTACTTTTATTTTCATGGTGACAGCTGTTTCAGGTTATCAATCAACTTAAATTCACTTGAGTTTTTTAAGCCAGTCTCTGTACAGGCATCACATGGATATTGTATCTGCCAAGGGCCTTGCAATCCACTAGAAATGATGACTTAAGACTCAGGAAGAAAATAAACCATATACTTCCAACTCTAATTCCTGTGGTTAACTACAACCTGAACAGTTGTTCCTTTACTAAAAAAAATGCCCACAGAAAAAAATATTTGGGAAAACATGTTCAAAACAGAAAGAAAAGACAGAAAAAACTCTAATTATATCCTTTTTCCTTATGACTCTTCCAGTGAAATACTGACCCTTTTGAAGACCAACAAGCAGTACACATCCTACAGTGGTACATATCCTACAAAAATTATGGTTCTTGAGAAGAAAAAATATGAAATAGCTGAAAGGTCTTTTAACAACAATGAAGTGGTGGTGCCTTTTTCTTTAACATATTCACACTTCCTATTCATAAGACATTTTTTATTAAAAAGTGAAAAATAACCCTCCCCCTGTATTGGTGAAAAAATCTGACAGCCTCTTACCCGTCTCCAGCGGGCCATTCTCTATCTCAGAAAAATGCCTTCCCCCCCACACACAGCTCTTCTTTCTCAGAGCATCATTCTGCTTGGCAACCAAGATTGATTTCTTTTTAGAGGCTATTTTTCTCAGGAAGTGAGTTTGGGGGGAAACACACTTTGTCCCAGCTCCTTTTATCTTTTAAAGCCAGTATTTGAATGTTCTCATGGCAGTGGCGAAGTTACCCTGAACATTTTGTCGCTGGCATGAAATCTACTCATCTTGGCCAAGACACCTCCAACATTCATCCTCCACCCATGTGCAGCCTGTCAGTATTCATCAGCCACAGTCTCTGTGGCATCTCAGCAGTACACACTGCATTCCCCTCTTACATTGTATAATTTTTAAAATGCAATTTAGTCACATATTTTTCTTCATTTAAACATAAGCAACTGGCATCAAGAGTTTTTTCATGTCAACAGGCTGCGTAAATTTTTTGCAAATAGCCCTTATTCTAAAGTCATTATTCTGCCCCTATATAAGTAAATCTGGAATCATTTTGGTTTCATTAAGTTCTGCTAATCTAAGAAAGCTTCCAGATTTAAGATGTCCTCAGCTTGCTGCTATGTGCTACGCACCCAAGGATTAATTTTTCAAACACATATACAACAAACAGTCCATCTTCTGCTAAGCTCTTCCAGCACTACTCGACTGATCAAGACCATCAAGACAATCAAAGGCAGCATCTCTACCTTATGCAGCAGAGAGCTACGCTGCACAGTGTGCAACAAATGCAGTTGTTTCACACTCATCCACTTACAAAGGCAGGTAGTGCAACACAGTGAAAGGTTCAGATATTCCTCCCCAAACTGCATCAAGATGCAACACAAAATGCGTGGCACTTCTGTAGCTGCCCTGCCTATACAAGGCTGTCTTTTCTCCAAATTCATTTGAGCTGTGACCTGTCATGTCTAGTCCAGCCCAATCCAATCTCCATCTCCATCATCCATTTTCATCAGCTTCAGAAGGCCATTCTTGGAGAGTTGATTGTCTCTTATCCATCTCTGCAGTGACAGACACAAAAGTGTCCCCATCCTTAATGCGACACCCAACTATATCCATTTTCTGCTAATCTATGTGCTGGCAAAACCATACTGCCTCACGCATATGCGTCACAAAACTTTGATGTTAAATCATTTAAAATGAGTTCCTAAAACCTTTGTCATGCCTAAGCTTTACCTAGAGTATTGACATTTCCATATGTCTACTGCAAGAGCAAAAATCACTTTTTTATTTCTAATTCTAATGAGCCTCATCAACCCTGAATATCCCTGAATTAAAAGAACTGTCCTACCACTGGTTCACAAATCCTGATGGGGTGCAATGGAGCACGAGGAGGGGGGTCTGTAGAAAGGTAACCAAGGCAAGTAAACAGTCTTGCCTTTGCCTCTAGTTTGTTCCTATCTCTTCACCCAGGTCAGCAATCTGACCATAACAAGAACAACAAAAAATTTGGTTAATTTTCAGCTGGATCAGTTCCTTTATCTGACTCATCACTTACAGGAGTGGTAGGGCAGTGAGAGAAGAGAAGGGAGAGGAACAGAGCCAGCACAGTTAAGATGAGATTGAAACATGATTCACAGTAGAATTAGGAGATAAATTAACGAGTAAACTTGTTAAATGACTTGAAAACACTGGCTGAAAGGCACTTTGAAAAGACAATGCGGTATTATGAATTACTTCATATATTCAGCTGGAAAAAATTTAGGACAGCTGTCAATCTTCACTGCTCTGTTAGGACTGCATTAAAGTTCTGCTGGTTACTATTATACTTATTCTACATTAGCTCCTGCTTCTGGTTTAATACATCATGTGGAAACCTTACTTGAAAATTATTCTTTTTACTTTAGTGTGAACTCCTTCCCAGTCAACTCAACCTGCAAGAAAATAAGCACATTTTACCGAGTAAGAATTACCTTGTGCATACATTATGCCAATATAATAATCACAGAATCACAGAATCAACTAGGTTGGAAAAGACATCTGAGATCATCGAGTCCAAGCTCTGATTCAACACCATCTCATCTAGGAGACCACAGCACTAAGTGGCACATCCAGTCTCTTCTTAAACACCTCCAGGGTTTTTATGTTCATAGTTTCAGACAAAGTTAACTTAAAAGATAAGTTAAAAAAAAGCAAAAACCCAAAACTACCATGACATGACCCAAAGCTTTCCAAGCACTAAACTACATCTACTTGCCTGCACTGTCCTGCAGCAGGAGACAACTTTGCATTTGCTGGGCAGAAGTAAAATACATTTTCCCTACACCTACTGGTGATCCAGTGCTGAACACTGCAGGTAAGATACAGCACTAACACGTTAAGGATGAACACAACAACAACAAACCACTTTGCTCTGTTTGTCAGATCCTCTAGCAACTACTAGCTCTCATGGGAATCAAATCAGTGCAGGTTCCCATTTGCAAGTAAACTTCACAGGTAATGCAGTCACATTCCACATCAAAAAGTATACAAATCAGCAGATACAGCTTGGTCGGGAGGTTGTTACTCAATCAAACTGCTATTACAGCTGTAGCACTTTCAGGTTCCCCCTGCCTTCACTACAGACCTTTGCATATTTTGGTTTCTACATGAGCTATCTATTTGGGGCCGATTCTGGAACAAACAGTAACTTCTGTCCGGCTCAGAAAACTTAGGTAAGAATTTCAGCCAAGTTTTAGTTAACTGGCGTTACACAAGCCATGGATAATCTACCTTCAAAGCAATACTTCACGTGGAGTTTGGAAACACGGAGATGGCAGCTATGGTTCCTGCTGGGACACGCTCGCCATTTGGACACTGCCTGTCCTGCCAGTCTGTGCCCAACGCTGATTCCCAACGCCGTGATCTGATCGACACCAATAACCAGCTCCCGAATGCCCTCAGCTATTATTTCAGACGATTTGTAGCGCAGTAAGGTTTTATGGTCTGTATGTACCAGACAGACACAAGAGGCTACTATTTGCTGGATGAGGAAATACAGTTATTTACTGTTTAAAAGCAGAGTTGACTCACAGATATTACGACCCGAGGGAACTGCTGCCACACTATCTAGTGCTATCCTTCACTTCGCATTGTTTCATTCAACGTTCCAACAAGCTTCCTCGGCGAGTTTTCCATCAAACTCCGTAACTCCTGTTTGGGCCATGACGTGAGGCGGGGCCGAGGCCGCGCGGGGCCGGGCAGCTCGGGGGCTCAGCAGCGCCGGGGACAGCGGGGCGACCCCGGCCAGCCGCGCACGCCCTGCGGGAAGAGGCCCCGGGCTCGGGAACGGCGGGATGGAGCCGGGGCTGCCTCCCTTCCTCCCTTCCTCCCCCGGCCCACCGCCCGAGCCCCGAGATGGCGGCCGGTGCCGCCCGCAGCGCCCGCCGGAGGGCGAACCTCGCCGCGCCCGGACCCCCGGGGCTGCCGGGGCCGGGGGCGCCCTGCGGCGGGCGCGGGGCCGGGGCGGGTCCGCCCGTGGCCGCCGCGGGGAGCGGAGCGGCACCGCCACCTGCGAGCCCCGGCCTCGGGCAGGGCCGGCCTGGGGCGGGGTCCGCCGCGACCCCCCGGCACGGAGCTACTCACCACAGCGGCGGCCCCGGCCCCGGTCCCGGCTCCGGCTCCGGACAGGTGTTCGCCTCAGCAGGAAGCGGCGCGGGCCGGGGACCGGCGGGGAGGCTCCATGGCCGGCGGGAGAGGCAGCTCCGGAGCCGCCGCCAATCACACGCCGGGCAAAGAGGGAACCGGCTGTGGGGCCTCCCCGCCCCGCCCGGCCCCGCCACGGCCCTGGGGCACCCGGCCTTGGCCCCGGCGCGGCCGCATCAGCCGGAGTGCGGACAGACCCGCCGGCGGGGTGGGAGCACCACAGCCGCGGTGTGGCTTTACTCGTCAGCGCAAGTCATGCAGGATGTGTCCTGGTGTCAGTACAGGCAGCAAACCCCCCTGGGAGCAGCTTCCTGAGGTATTCCTTGCCCAGGGCCCCGCAGCCGGCATGCCCACGGCACTCCCGCAGTGCCCCCCGGGGTGCGGGCAGCTCGTTCAGGGCAAGGGCAAATCAGTTTGTCTAAGCTGCCCTTCTCCTTTGGAATGATTTTCATACTGTCTGATTAAACGGCTTCTGCAGGTTAAGCATCTTGCTTATTTTTTTAAAAACTACTTTTTTTGTTCGAAGTTGCTGTGTTATTGTTTTTCTACTATTTTCCCATCTCCAGACTGGGCAGTCTTGGATCTCTCTTTTTAGGTCATGTTCCTTAGACTTCCTATGATTCCTGTAGCTCGCCTCCCGGTTCTTGCCAAATGGGCCACATTGTTTTTGGAAAGCACTGCCCAGAACTGGACCTAGTAGTATTCCAGCTAAGGCCTTGCCAAGACTGCCCACAGCAGGAGGATTAATTCATCAGCCTTAGGGTGCCCGGCCTCAAAATGCAGCTCAGGAATAACCATTCGCATCCAATTCAAACAAACAAACAACTCCCCCTCACCACTCTTTCCCCACCCTGGCTGCTGTCTGTTTGGCTCTGAATGTGGAGCTGAGCATTTCTGTCTCTGCAGCTCTTTTTTGGAGTGAACAGAAAACTTTCCATGATTGAGATTTTCTTTGACCCAGATCATGCAGTGAGTGTCACAGATGAACCCTGTATGGCAGAGTGCACACACTCGCCCTGAAAGCCATGTTGACATAAGGTCACACCTTCAGGGAGTACTGCACAAGACCACAGGTTGCCACAAAGACTATTATTAACCTCCACAGAAATAAAATATCAGAAGGAAATAACTAGTTTGTTACACATACTGATGGTATTATAAAAAGCCAGATAACTGTTGTTATAGTATGGATGGATTCTTTCAACTTAAAAAATCATTTGCATGACATTAGGAATCATAATACCAGCCTGAAGCAGTGAGTATTTGAGGAACTGTTATATAAACATGGAGTTTCTCAATGAACATACATTACACTGAACTGTGGCTATAAGGAATCATAACTCTGTGCTGGCCTCAAGTTCCTCAAGTTTTTACAAAGATGAAAGCAAAGCAAAAGCCTTTTACAACTATCACGGGATGTGTGTGCAGCACAGGGGAAACACAGTGAAGACTCACTTCATGCCTGGTTTTGCCTGATTCAATGGGTAGTATCTGTCAAAGAAGTTCAGCTTTGCACAGCATGTGTATTACTGAATGCTTTAAAAGACATTTGAAAGCCCTATCAAAATAGGAAGTCTTTTTTTGTTGTTGTTGGCTGGATCCCCAGATGGATCACTCCAGGAACACAAGTGTAACCAGTTTGGAGATTAATCCTGTTAAAATCCATGGACTTTATTTGGGGATGCACAAACATATGGAGATTTGAGCAGCTGAATAAAAAGACTGTCATTTGTCAAAAGACAGTTATAGAGGGAATAATATACAGCCAGAGCAAATGACACGTTTCATGTTGATTTCAGCCAGAATTGTATAACATATTTTTTAAATAGCTATAAGTCATCATAATGTTATTTGCAATGCAAGAATAAATTATTTTGCTTATTATATTTGAGAAAGGTTGGTAAACTGAAAATCTTTGTCTTTTCAGGGTTGAGTAAGTTAATAAAATACTAAATTTTTGCTGTTAGTCTTCACCTTGTCTATATATAACACCATTTTCTTTATTGCCTTTTTTGGTAAATCAAGTAATAACAAATTTTCCTGTGAGCAAGGATGCTCTCCTTGTAGGTTGTATATTCTTTGGAAATACACATTATAACATTGTTTTATTCCTATTCATTTCCAAATGTGACACCCTTTCCCATAAAATATCTGTTCATTTGTTTTGGTTGGTTTTTTTTGTTTGTTTGTTGTTTTTTTTGTGTGTGTGTGTGTGTTGTTGTTGTTGTTGTTGTTGTTGTTGTTTTTAAGTCAAGAACAGCCTGTAGAATAAATCAAAATGCATATTTTACCATATCAAAAATGGAACTTTAGAACAGTCAGGAATACCATAGCTTAATGAAGGAAGGTGAAGAACACAATTTGATATTTAAATGAAGCTGATTTAATCAAAATTAGTCATGCAAAGAAGCAATCATTTTGCTAATATAATCTTGTGGAATGCAGTCAAAATGCAATTATTTGCTTTATGTTCCAGCTGTAATAAAAATATGACAAGGAATCACTGTCATGATCTTAAATGGCAGTTTTGGAGGTTGGAAAAGTGTAAGATGGTGTCTTTTGTGTCCTCTGCACAAACATCAGTTTTTATGTTCTTTCATGGATTACTGCGATAAAGAGTAACAGCCACATTAAAGCTCGGCAACAACTTTATATACTGACATATGCTGGAACTGGATGTGATTGTTCAGTTGTCATTGACAAACTGGGTTCATTACAATTTAGGAAATAGTATCTAGTAGTTTGGGTTGGATTTTATTTTCTATATTGCCAGCAGAGAAAAAAATTAAATGCAGTAAGTTTGTAGGTCTTCTAACAACAAAATAAAAGCCTGCTTGCCTAGTTCCAGCAATAGCTACATTCAGTTTTGTAATTGCTTCTTTATGTAAAGAAAATGGGAAATACATTTTGCATCCCCTTGCAGTGGTAGATAGCTTTCTCCTTCCTTGGAGAATTTATAAGCTGGAATTTTCTAATTGGGTGTGAACAGTTTATGGTGCATTCAGTAGAGGATTTAAAATAAATAGACTTACAGCTAATAAATAAATCTTACAGCTCTGCTGTGAAAACTGATCTTGTAAATATGTGATCAGTTGTATTGACATCATTGCTGTTGATTTGTCCATATGCACAATCATATGGTAACTTTGGAGAGCAGTGTCAGGAAAACTCTAACAAGAAAAAGAGGAGTCTTGTCTATCTCTTTGCCTTCTCCTCCAAGAAATACCCACTCTTTCCTTTTCTCCTGATAGACTGTTGCTCCTGTGATCGAGATTCTGCACAAAATCCCTCACTTCAAACACCTTAAGCTTCGCAAACAGGAAACAGCAGGTGTTCAGAAGCCTTCAGAGGTACATCTGCTGAAGATTTTGTCTCCCATTTTATTGATTTAGGCTGTTATGCTTCAGAATAGGTATTTAAAGCACAGGGGTGGGAGTGCAAGCTATTTCCTCTGTACCACATATGTACACACATCAGCTGAGATGTAAAACTCACATAATACCTCTTACTGGCTTGAATGCCAATTTTTTTCTGTTCACATGTGTATGAGGTTGTCAGAGAGAGAGAGGTACTCCTCATGGTACCAGAGTGTGTGTAAACAGATCTTTCAGATCACTGGTTATTCTAAAGGGGTGGGGAAACTCACAAGATTTTGTGGCTGCTGACAGAGGTCTCAGTATTAGGGGATGTTGATGCAATGTTGCATCATCTTGTGGTGTTGGGACTTGACAGAGGAAATGAAAGAGGTCAGAAATAGAAATGTAAAGAAAAGGAGTTCACACTTCCAACAAGTCCTCTAGTCTAATATCAGTATATTAAGTAGTGTTAAATATAAGGTACAGACAGGAATTCCTCAGTCTCTGAAAGTTTCTGACACTGAAAATAATTAGTCTAATTTGGTTATATGTTATAAGGTTTCTGTAGACAAGCTCTCTGAAGGGTGTTGCTGTGTTATCTTCCTGTCCTGATATTTAGTGCTCTTAATCTTCGAAAGTTTGCTCAGCTGTGTACTCATTTGTTGGTGCATCCCCCCATCTGTGAGGAGGTAAATAAATTTACATTGCGCAGGAGCTATGTAAGGGTAGACTTTTATCAGAGGATTTCTGTGTTTTTGTTGTAAATGAGTAATGTAAAATGCTTTCCCTTTAAACTACCTCATTGCGTTTCCCTGTACATTGAAGTAATGTATCCTTCAAACACAAAACTGTTGCTTACCACACAGGCACCCCACAGGCTAATTGCTGTCATACTACTCAGGAATACAGAAAGGCATTCAAGGAGGAATCTATTTGTTCCACAGTTTAGTTGAATACAAATTTATCTTCAGAAAAAGCTCTTTCCCAGCCTGATCTTTTCTGGAATCACATCCTTAATCTTCTCAAACAGCTTTAACAGGTGGCCTCAGCAGAGTGTCTGGATTACCACATTTGGTGTTTTTACGGGACTGAATAATAGAATTTTGTTAAAAAATGCTGGATCCCTTGTACAGGAAGCCTGTGAGCAGGACTCTCTCCTGCCTGGGAGCTGGGGATCCTTTTGGGATGTCAGGGTTGAATCTGTGACAACACTCCATATACAGGAGACAGTACCTCATCATACTGGTAGCTTTTTAAAATAAACACCTGTCCTCACACTGGAATATAGAGCTTCTTTACAGACAAATCAAAGCCTTGACACCCAGGCAGCCAACACAACTGTAAGGAGTAAAAAGCCAGTTTCAGACCTTGAACTTTGCATATTTGCTTCCTAGAAATGGAAGCTAAGTAAAGCTGTGAACCAAAACTTCCACATGGGAAGTGTCAACCCTTACACACAAAATGAGGACAGCACTATGCTGTGGGTATTAGGGCTTCATCACCTGTCAGTCTGGTCTGTATGGATGGTCCTCCGTTGTCTGTGTCAGCCAGGGATGGTTAAAGACAAACATGGGAACATCACCCAGATAAAACAGCTGGTATTGCCAGACATCCTGTGTATTTTAGGATTCCCTGAGTTACCATCACAAATATTGCATTATCTATAAAATGCATGTCCCCATATTTCCCTGCTAGCAGTGGAAAGCCAGGCCTCTCCATCAAACTTTTACAAAGCGTCTTTAGTCTTTTGCATTTCCCAGCATGAAGCCTGAGCTATTCAGCAGTTGAGCCCAGCTTGAGTGTCTTGTGGAAGGCAGTAACTGCTGCAAGTGCTGGTCAGGGTCTGCTGTTCCTACCCTTCCTGAGCCCAGAAAGTAAGCTGTGACTTTCCCTTGATCTGCAGTTCTGCACCCTGAAGCCCAAAGGGGACAGCAGTATCTGTCTGTGCACCACGATTCAGCCAGAG